TTTCTGCTTGGAACACGGTTGGCCGGTAACCCATGGATATTGAGATATCAATCCCTGGACCAGTTACCCCTGCTCCCACACGGTTGTTCAATCTTGAACCGTCTGTATAAAAAAACAGTTGAACCTGGACGGATGTTTGGTCCCCCACTTTCCCAAACATTACGATCAAATTCTGCTGCATTGTATAAACGATCGAAATTATATTTTTTCTCCATCCAGTCTTCATTTTTTAATACAAGAGAATCAATATCAAACATTTTTTAAATGCTAAGGTGTCCTGTAAGATCACCTTCAAGGAAGTACTTTGTTCGTTGAATCCTTAAAGCGCTCCTTTCAGCTTCTAATTGGATAAATTGATGCAACGGAATCAGATAAAGTAGAGCATCTAGTGAAATACTCGGTGTGCTGTTCAATGCACCAGTTATTGAGAGAGTAGCTAGTCTTTGCAGTCTCCCCAGCTTCTTCTGAGCCGATTTTTCATTAGTTTTCGGCCACCAAACTAATGATGCGTAGGATATTCTGGGTCTTACAATCGTCAAATAAATCCAGTGGATCATTTTTGGTTTTAGGCCCCATTTCCTACCAAATGTTTTTTTACTTATCCAAAGAGCATTTATTGCCTTATTGACAACCTGCTCTATATGTGAATTCCAGTTAAGTTTACTGTCAAGAATGACTCCCAGATACTTGACTGTTCGTGAAAGTTCTAAAGAGGTTTCTTTCAATTTTAAGTTATTTATAGAAAATTTCCTTTTCCGTGTGAACGGTACAATAGTGGTCTTAGAAGGGTATATATTCAACCCTTCTTTAGCGCACCACGACGAAACATAGTTTAAAGCAGTTTGCATTCTATTTGAAATGATATTATCAAATTTTCCTCGTACTATTATGACTATGTCATCAGCAAAGCCAATTATCTCGAAGCCCTTTGCTTCTAAGTTTTTGAGAAGTTCGTCAACAATTAAAGACCATAAAAGAGGTGAAAGCACACCTCCTTGAGGACACCCTTTTACAGCTCTAACTGTTATGGATGAGCTTCCAAGATTTGCTGAGATTTCTCTTTTAGAAAGCATCTCATTAATCCACTTAACGATGCTTTTGTCGAATCCACGCTTCAACATATTGTTTTTCATGGAGTTATAAGATGCATTATCAAATGCTCCTTCAATATCAATGAATGCTGCTAGTGACATTTCTTTTGATTCAAAAGATTTTTCTTGTTTTGTAACAAGCGTGTGAAGAGCTGTTACTGTTGATTTACCAGCTTGATATGCAAGCTGATATTTACTCAAAGGAATTGTAATCAAGTACGTTGATTTTATATGCTGATCTATTAACCTGAAGATATGATAACATCCTGAGCAGTTCTTGGAGCTCTCTGATCACCTGAAGGCCTTTGGAATATTTTCTGACCAGCCTGGTATCATGAGATAATATCTGGGAGATGTGATTTGAATTGTTGGATAGTTTGAGTTCTTCATCAGAATAGTACTTGACCAACCTGAAGTCTTGAAAAGGTATCCAGGGGATTTTATAGACATCGTAAAACACATGGAATAATTTCTGAGCTGCCTGGTATCATATGAGAGGATATCTGCCGAGTTGATTAAGATTGTTGGATAGTTGGATAGTAAGTCTTGAAAAGAGAAGGGGATTTTAGAACACCTGAAGATCATGGGAATAATTTCTGAGCTGCCTGGTGTCATGTGAGAGAATATCTCCTTGAAGTAAAATACGCTTTCTGTGAAGATCCATGGACTTTCATGAAGATCTATAATATACTATGAAATTCGCAGAATTACTATGATGTTCCTGGATCTTTGATGCAATACCTCTCACTTCTTTGCAATTTCCTGAACTTCAATGATACTCCCTGAAACTTTAAAAAAATACAATTTCCATGTTACTGTTCTTTATGAAGTTGTCAGATTTTTTTTGAAGCCCTTCGTGTTTTTATAAAGTTCTCTGGCCTTCTATGAAATATCCTAAAATTTCTCAGAAATTCTCAAAATTTCTGTAAAATTCCCAAATTTCTATTCAATCTTCTAAGCTTCTATGAAGTTTTCTAAACATCCATAAATGCACCCGACGAAATTTGAAACAGAGTTCCATTCGTATTTTAAGGCCGTTCGCAATGCTGTTGTGTTTAATATAGGCTGTTTCAATTTGAAACTATAACAGAAACGCACCACTTGCTTTGCAGGGTTGCAGTTTCATTATTCTAGTACTAGTTTGAACCATATTTGCAACAGCTCGACTATTCTGTTTTATTTATTAGTGGAGTTGGAACACGAATGGAACTCTGTTCCAAATTGCAATGGATGTATTTGTGGAGCTTCTAATCTGACATATGGCAGACGGCCAGAGGAAAACGAGGTGACGAAAAGAAATCTCATTCTGTTATTGTTCGGAGTCGATAAATTGATCGAGCAAATAATTTTGCTTTACATCATAGCCATTTTAAAAAAACTAGATGACTCCTTATTTTTTCCAAAGATCTAGATGTGATTAAAGATCTACAAAACCTTTTTTTTTCATTGATTTGTTTTCCGAATGCTACCGACGCCAGGGAGGCAGCTCCCACATCTGGATCCTACCACCTATCGACCCATCAAACTCATGATTGGTTCATCAGATATTCTGAAGAAATCTTCATTTAACCCTCAGAATATTTTTTCATACCTTAATTTTGAATAGGTATTCTGAAGGTATCCAACAATTCAAATTGTGTCTCTCAGATGTTCTCTTATGATACCACGTGGCTCAGAAACTATACCAAAGACCTTCAGGTGATCAGATCTGACCAGATCAGCTCTCCAAAACATTCTTTGGTTATTTTTTTTCAATTCTACTGGATGATCAACTATTATTGTGAAGATCTTTAACTGTCCAACATTCAAATAACGTCTCTCAGAGATTCTCTCTTGATAAAAGGAGTCTCAGAAATTATTCGAAAAGCTTTCGGGTGCTCATAGGTTTCAAAAACTTTTTATGATATTTTCTCAATACATCAGAATAATCAAATATCAGAGATTCTCTTGGTGTCACAGAAATTATTCTAAAGCCTTCAGGTGCTCGTAGGTCTCCAAACACATCACTTGATATTTTTTCCAAAACTTCCCGGGTGATAGACCACCCTGCATGTTTCGACAACAGAATCGTCCTGGACCGTTTCTCGTAGTTCCTGGATTACGTTGGTGTAATTATCTTGTTCAAGAAAACTTTCTTGAATCAGGATCAGCTTCTCCGTTCGTGCTAAAATCACCGAAGCAAACAAACTTTGCACACGCACACATCTGTAGGGATGAATACCAAAAACCGTTTAAAACTGTGCGTTGCGCTGACCATGTTGCAGTTTCATTTTAACAGTTTTAAATTTGAAACAATTTTGAAACTCAGCATTGCGAACGGCCTAAACCCACTCAGAAATAACACTGAACGGTCGAGCAGTTGCAAATCTGATGCGAAATAGTGCTCGAATAATGAAACTGCAACTCAGCATTGCATTTTTGTTCTAGTTTCAAATAGAAACAGTCCATATAACATACAACAGCATTGCGAACGGCCTAAAGATGAGATTTTTTTTATGTGAATATGAATATATGGAAAAACTGGAACCACTGTTATTGCTGCCATTCGTATTGGCATGAGATGAATATTTTCAATCTGACTCTGCATGATCTGTTAGCATCGGCTTTCAAAATAAAAATTAAAATCCATATTGAACCACTCATAGCAAAGTGTGCAGTGTTGATCTCTGTTTTTGGGCGTACTCTTTCTGTTGGAAGGGAAGTGGGGTGTCAAACAACGGAACCATGCGGAAATAAAACAAAGCGATTCTCGCGTCCAACGGTCTTTTCTAAATTGTTCAAAAGTTTATTAGTAACGAAATTTTAACCATCTATTTATACATACTCATCGGATCATCGATTGGAAAAAGAAGTAGCTAGTGCTATCCTGCTATCCTAAACTTTTCTTTATAAGACTTGATGCATGCAGGATGAAGGGTGAGATTTACTGATTAGGACCGGGTCGGAAATCAAATTTGGTTAAGGTAGATTTTAAAAGTTTAAAATCACAATTTTGCAGCAATATCACATGCTGTTTTTAGGGAACTTTGTTCATTGATTCGGGTTTTAAGCTATGAAAGTAGTATCAGCCATTAATTACGTGGAAAATTCTACCATGCTTGATTTTCGACTAACCCGATTGCTAGGCAGGCCTGAACATACTCATTACAGCTTAAATACTGCTTTTCAAAATTATGAAAGTATGAGATATTATAATAATAATTTGTATAAGTATGATGCAAGGAAATTAGGTAAAACTTCGCTTCCAGAGTGTCACAATTAGCGATTAGCTATAACGAATAGTATTCTCTCATGACGAATACTTATTACAGCTACAATAACTGATTGTGACCCTCTGAAAGCAAAATTGACTGGTTTTATGCGTCTTACACAAACTTTACCTCCTCTTCTTGCACCTTACATATAAAAATTATTATTACAATATCTCATAGTTTCATAATTTCGAAAAGTAGCATTTTAGCTGTAATGAGTATGTTCAGGCCTGGCTAGGATATTATTACGGCAAGGTTGCAAAGACTCATTTCAGCTAAAACAATGTTTTTCTAAATTATGAAATAATTAGATGCCATGATCAAATTTTTAATTGGTAGGATACAAGAAGAGGTTGCAAAGAATGTGTTTGACATATTAAACCTGTTTATTTCACTTCATGAGAGTCACAGTCAGCGATTTTTCACAAACTCACTCACTCACTCACTCACTCACTCAGCGATCAGCAAATCGCTGATTGTGACTCATAGAAAGCAAAATTTACAGGTTTTATGTTTCCAACGCATACTTTGTAACCTCTTCTAGTAAGTTACAAGTAAAACATGCCATCATACCATCTTTTGGTTTTATTATTCCGAAAAACATTATTTTAGCTGAAATGAGTCTTTGCAACCTTGTATTACGGTCTAACCAGACTACAAATAAAAAGTATGAAACGCATGCAATCTTTTATTTAATGATGAACAACTATTGTTAAGGTTTAAATTTGATCGGTAATCCATCCTGTGTGCGGTAAGTCTATCGAGCGTATTGATGAACCCAACTTATTCGACTAATCGTGCAAGAGTTAACAAGTTTTGTTGTTGTTTTTTGACTATACAGAACCAAGATGGTACCTGAAGGCACACTTCTCATATGTATGTTACACAGTCTAGCTACGCTTTTTGGTTTTCATTCATCAGATTCTAGTAAAAAAAAACAGTAAACTTCTACAACAATCGGGTTTTTTTTATTATAAGGGTGTGATTCATCCCAGATGTTAAACTATTATTTACTAGGGTTGTTCAAATTATTAAATTTGGTCCACGCATCGCAATCGATTCCACATCAGCTGTCTGTTGCAGCGAATTGTATAATTTGAACCTACCTAGTATCTAAGGGGGTATTATCGTGCAACTATGAGTGAGATTGAAGTCCAATCAATGGAGGCGGCATATCTACGTATTGTGATTGATGGTTTTGATTTTTTTTTTTTCAGGCGTTAGTACAGGTTGATATGATTAATAATAAGATTAGTTTTAGAAAAAAAAAAACTCCTAGCGTTATAATCAAATGTGTCTTTGATTCGCACGAGTGAATTACTTTTTGGGAGGGGCATGAAGCCAAGGGGTGACCCCATCGTTTTAGGTCTTTCTTTGGCGTAGCTCGGAAGAGTTTCCGTTGTGACCATTCTTTTGTCTGAAAAGTGAGAAGTGAAGAGAAGAAAAATGCTCTCGGTGAGAAACGATTCTGGGTTGCAAATGAGGTGGTACACCGAATTTCAAGACACGAGCACTACACAAATCGGGTGTGTTAATTGTTTGTGGAAGCGTGCTCACAAGTTCACATGGTAGAAAGTAGTTAGTTGTAGGGTTATTCAAATTAGTTTGTTTAATTATGTAAATTTTAGAGCGGAGTATTGTGGTTCGTTTAAATGCACGAACATGCACATTAGTGATTCGTTTATTAGTGTTTGGTTTTCGTTCGGTTCGGGGTATGGCAACCCTGACTGGTGTTATAGCAGATACTGTTAGCGAACTATAATAAAATACACAGATAAGAGGAACAAATACAAGAGAGATCAATGCCCAAAACAGAGATTCTTACAGACCAGAGCGGTTTATAGCAAAACGATAAAACACTGCTGATTCGAGGCGACCTCTATAGCGTTTCTGTCGAACTGGCCACCAACCTTGACGGCAGCTGAGTGTTTTAATATGTGTTTGTGTCGTGAGGTATATGTATAATGGAATATAGTGATACGTAAATGCACACGAGAGAACGAAACATGAATATAGAGCGAGTTCTGAACGAAACTTTTAGCAGCATTGATGAAAGATCGGGTACAATCGATGGAAAACGAAAATAATCGGTTTTTGATCAACGATGAACATGTAATACTCACTGATCTGGACTCTGGTCGGTGTCACTTTCTTCGATCTCTGTCTTGTTGCGTCTTCTTTCGCATATTAAAATAATCACACATAATACAACAACTTCGACAATGATACCCACGAAAACGTAAAGCGCGGCGTATTTTCCTAAAAAAAAAGAGAGACCAACATTAACGATGAGCACGATGCAATATGGTCCACTCTGATATCGTACCTCTAATCCTAACGGTCATCGTGACTTGTGCCGGTTTACCCGTGATGTCTGTGGCATTGTTTCGAGCCTCGCAGGTGTAATCGTTATAGTCGTTGAGCGTGATGCTCTCGATGGTTAATCGGGCATTCTCGACGCCCTTGTCGTCCTCTTCCAGCAGGACCCGGTCTGTACTCGTACTGAAGGTGGTGTTGCCTGAAAGGGACGGATGATGGAACAGGTTTTATAGGGGTTTTTGCTAGTCAAATTTTGCTATTGATACATATTGCTGCCCGTGGATGACCTATGTTTGGTTTGCTGACAACATTGAATGGAAAAATGATAAACATACGTTAGCACGACACAATTGCACTATGGGAATTCAGGTGGCCAATAATCGAAAATTGACTTTCTCCTAATGCTGATTCGTGTTCATCCATCGGTAGTAGATTATCCAACGGGGAAACCCCAGAATATCAGTTCTCTAAACCATATACTTACAGAGATACAGGTGATATAGTCGAACAGTTGCCGATTTTTGTAAAAATCAATAATACACTCAATCTCACTTTTCTCTAAATTGAATACATCTTTTCCCATGTTTGAAGGTGTTTCTGAAAGCATCCAAATGACAAATGACAACATCGCATAATTGTGCGCTAGGGCTATTTTAGCTCTCGCCTTATATTTCAAAAAGACGTATTTGATCATTTTTAGTAAATCATTGCACGAAAACTGCTCACCAAATCGAAATGATGTCTGAGACAAAGTTGTACGAAACTTTTCAGAAAAGAGATACATAGGGTAGAGCGCTACTTCGTCGTAATCACCCAGTTTCGTTTTAACGATCGGAAAAGATCAAACATATCAATGATTTCACCGTGCACAAATCAATAATAGGTTTGTTCCGATGCGTTAGTTCATTAGCTACAACATAAATCCTACTAGAGCACATTGTATGAATATTAACGCCCATTGCTCTCAATGCAAAAGAAGGGCTCCTAGCGAATCCCCCTTTTCTACGTTTATCCGTAGGACGAAAAAAAAAATCGAATGGCGTTTAGATGCGTTATTGCGTTATTGCGGAATTGAAAGTCGTAAGACGAATTTAGAATCAAGAAGCAGTATTAGATTTTGAACAATGTATCAACAATTTGTGACTCTTTATCAAATCCAACGGCACCGTATGGAAAGGTGAATAAATTGAGAAGTCTTCTTTGACAGAAATATTCCATTTTTGTTCAAACCCGTTCAAAAAAGAGAGGTAAAGCGCGGGTTGTGCTTAGTAGGACGGGAATTAGAAAAAAACCCTACTAAAAAAAATCACAAACTGCCGGAGAAAAAAAAAACTGATAAATTTTCAATTATAAAAAAAAAGTACATTTAAACCTTTTTCAACTCTTATGTTAACTTGAAAGCTTATCAAAAATGTTATCTTTTCTGATATTGGACTCAATGGACACTTTAAAATGAACCAAAATCGTAGAAAATCAACTTTTAAAGGGTGTCCACAGTTAAATTGCATCACTTTCAAAAAGCTGTAACATTTTACCCTTGGGGTTAAATTTAATGAAATTTTGGGTGCGATGGCGTCAGAGTGTATTGTTTACACTGTGTGAGTTTTATTGAAAATTTTGCACACTCACCTCAACAACCAACATCTTTCGCACCGAGCCATCGGAGAGATGTTGGGAATCCAACAATCTACTGTTTCTCGTGTCATAAAACGTTTCCGAGAACGTTTAACTGTCGATCGGAAACAAGTGAGTGCAAGAAAAAGTGTTCCGTACTGCGTTGAAGATCACAAGCGAGTGGTTGCTGGCTACGCAATTGCGTTCGGGATGTCGCGAAAAAAAACTACATGTGACAAAAAGTTTCATGCAAAAAGCCAAGAAACGAACTACACTCATTCAAGGTTCAGAAAGCACCAAATCGCAATGAACGACAGAATAGGACAACTAGAACGCGGCTACGTAAGCTGTACACACAAATGTTGACAAAACCACACTGCGGTATCATGGATGATGAAACATACGTTAAAGCGGACTTCAAACAAATTCTGGAAAACTAGTTTGTGACTGCGAAAGGCAAGTTCGATATTTCAGAGTCATCGAAACAGCCAGTGTTGAAGTTCCCCAAGAAATTCATGATTTGTCAGTCGATTTGCTCGTGCAAAAACGGAGCAAACCTTTCGTAACAACTACAACCGTAAATACCCAAGTCTACATGAATGAGTACCTGAAGAAACGACTGCTTCCGTTTCTCGAATCACACAATGTTCCTACAATTTTGACGTAGGACTACGTCTATGATTTCTATATGGGGTTGGGGATACACTTTGTGAAAACCGAAAATGGAACATGTAACAAAATAATGAAAGATTTTGAACATTAATAACTCAGCTGCCCCTGGACCAATTTCAATTATTTTATCAGCAATCGATCAGAAATATTTCTACGCATCAATGCTTCTGACTGATGATTTTTTAACAAAAAAAAAACTATTGAAAAAGTGGTAATGTCAAACATTGTCCAATGTAAAAATAAAAAGCGATAATTTTATCTCTTTTTTCATGAAATAAACGTTCTTCCCAAACCCAGTCGTCATAATCGAGTACCACTTGGTTGCACATCATTCTGCTTTAACCTGAAAAGATATAAAAGAGAACTGCTGTCTAATCTCAACCCATTTTCGCTTCGGACGGCGTGGTGAGCAGGCAGCAGAAGCAGGAATAGCAGTCCACTCTTCTAACTAACAAGCAACAATGACTGGTCGTGACAAAGGAGGAAAAGGTCTTGGTAAAGAAGGCGCCAAGCGTCATCGCAAGGTTCTTCGTGATAACCGCCATCCATCGTCTGGTTCGCCGTGGCGGTGTCAAATGTATCTCCGGTCTGATCTACAAGGTGTGCTGAAGGTGGTCCTGGAAAATGAGATCCGTGATGCTGTCACCTACACTGAACACGCCAAGCGACAGACGCACTATGTACGGTTTCGGAGGTTAAATCATCACCAACTTTGGCAACAAAACAGCCCTTTTCAGGGCCAACGAGCTTATTACAGCAAAGAGTTGGAATATAATTTATCTGTGCCTGTTTGTCCATATTCAGAACCACACGCTCCCAACGACCACACAAACTGCTGTCCAGAGTTGTAATCTTGTAACCAAACTTAGAAGCAGGGGTGCAAGTGATTTTAATCAATTCTTTTCATCAACTTTCTCTTTTAAAAAAAAAATACTACAAATTTGGTACGCCTACAATTCAAAAACGGAAAGAAATAGAGTGAAATAAAGGTACGCTAACCAAGCTTATATATAGTATTACATTCTCTGAAAATTTCATGACAATCGGTTGAGAGACTTACAGAGCTGCAAGATCTTGACTACAGAATAGTTTGGAGAGCATTAAATATCTTATTGATACTATTCATGATGTTTATGTTGTCAAAAAGCTCACTTGAGCTTCACGGACACATTCCAATTTTCAAGATATTGATAAAGACTTCTTTGAGAGTGTATAACTTTAAGGTCGTAACCCGTAACTAGTTGCGAGAGCCAACGCCAAAGTCACGAGTTCCAATCTCATCACCGGATAAGTCACGAATGACACAAGAGTGTTCAAGTGACTGTAATCACAAAAACAAAAGAATATCTTTATGGAAGCCATTCGATGAATGTGCTTGTTGTCAAAACGCTCTCTTGATCTTCTTGGACTCATAAAGATCTTTAAGACATTGTTCAATACTTCAGACTTTCTTGAGCTTCATGGACTCATACAGATTTGCAGTATTGTGTTCAAGACTTTCATTGAGCCTGTAAAACTTCAAGATCTTAGCTCCAGAATAGTTTAGAGATTATAAAAAAAAAAAAAAAAATCATATTGATACCATTCCATGATGTGGATGTTGTCAAGAGGCTTACTTGAACTTCAATAACTCATACATATTTTGAGGACATTGTTCAAGACTTCATCGTGCCTGTAGAATTTCAAGGTCTTAACTCCACAATGGTTTGGAAAGCATTAAATATCTTATAGATACTATTCGATGATGTGCATATTATGGACTCATAACGAATTTCAGGACATTACTCAAGACTTCTTTGAGCCTGTAGAAGTTTAAGATCTCAACTCCAGAATGGTTTAGAAAGCATACCATCCAATGATGTGCATATTGTAGAAAGGCTCTCCTGAACTTCGTTTATGATTTATGATCTCTTATTGATACTAATCCATGTTGTCCGGAAGCTCTCTTAAGCTTCATGGACTTATACAGATTTTCAGGACATTAATCAAACCTTCATTGAGCCTGTAGAACTTGAATATTTCATCTATTTTGGAAAGCATTAAATATCTTATTTATACCACTCGATGATGTGCATAATGTCAAAAGGCCCTCTTGAGCTTTATGTACTTATATAGAATTTCATGACATTGATCAAGACAAGATATCAACTCCAAAATGGTTTGGAAACCAAAACATATCTTGTTGATACCATTCAATGATGTGCATATTGCCAGAAGGCTCTCTTGAACTTCATGGACTCATACAGATTTTCAGGACATTGTTCAAGACTATATTGAATCTCTAGAACTCCAAGATCTTAGCAGCAGAATAGTTTCGAGAGCATTAGATATCTTATTGATACAATTCTATGATACGCATGTTATCATGAAGCTTTACAAAGCTCGGATTAAAGGGTGTATTCGATAAAAATGGTGCAAACATATTTACACACCAAAATTAAACCGATTATCGGAATTTCTTGAAATTTTCAGGGAATGAAAAACATTTATTTTTGATATGGACTTTTTATGCTCCTGAATCATCGATATCACGGTTTCACTGAAAGAAACCAATATCTTAAAAATCAGGAACACTGTATCATTCACCGAATAAAAGCTAAGAGTCCCGTCTTTCATTTGAGACTATTTTCTAAATATTGTAGCCTAGAACTTCTAGAAATTAGTCGCGTAAATCCTATACCAAAAACTTCCAATTTGATCTTCTTTTCAGAAATTTGTGTGGAAAAAATTACCCCCGATAGAACATTTTGAATTAAATACCAAATGAAAGGGTAGACCTTCAGCTTTCATTGGGAGGGTATTTCAGCGATAGTAAAGACTGAGTAGACCTTCTCCGCGGGGAGACTGGATCCCTCGTTGGTTTCTCGAAATCATGAGCAGACTTTTTTCAGGTAAGTTTTTACAAAGTATCTT